AGGGCTGCGGCTCCAGCCGGGGGGGCTCGCGAGGGTACTCGGGCTCGCGTTCGACCCCCGGGTACTCGGCCTCGCGCCGCCTCACCGGTGACAGGCTAATAAACGCCACTCTGCGCGGCTCCGCCATCCCCACTGTTCTGGCCCTCTGCCTTCGCTCGAGCCGGCGCTCGGTCCGACGCCGAGTGGTTTGCCTGCCCGCCCTCGCTTTCTCTCTCCGTCGCTTTTCTTCCCGCCACCACCCTCAGCCGTCTCCGCCGACGCCACCGTGAGTGCGGACTGTGCCCCCTTCCCCGCCACTATGTTCTGATGGGATCCACCGCCATCGCCAGGGTCGCCGCAGCCGCCATGTTGGATCCCCCACATAAATAGAAGCAGGCCGCTGAGCGGGCGCATGCGCAGACCGGAGACGCTCGCGTCCACCGTCGTGGCTGTGGCTCAGTTTTCCTCTTTTCCTCCCCACAGTCTGGAGTCCAGACAGGTCGGCGGAAGTGACGTGTGGCAGGACCGGTTTCCCTAGAAACGGAGACGCCATCTGCGCCCTTCCTAGAAGGGAGGGGTTTGGGGTTTCCCGAGCAGCTTCCTATTTGCACCCGGAAACCCGAGGCGCGCGTGGGGCTCGCCAAGGGCGAACGTCTGGATGTGCCGGGGACGGAGCTAGTTATGGCGCCGGCCGGGCCGGGCACATGCTCCCAGCTCTTGGCTCTAGATCACTGGGTGGTCAGCCAGTGTTGCTACTCGGAGAGGGCAATGGTGAAGGGACGCGGGCCGGTCACTATGCCCGCTCGCTCGGGGCGCGAGCAGACCGCAGAACCGAGGGCAGAACGGAAATGGCTACTCCTGCCGGACTCGCCCTGCGGCTTCCCTCCGCCGGGCGCGACACTCACGCCCACAGGCCTCCCTTTCCTTGGCTGACTCGTTTTCGGTCGCGGTGGCGATTGTGTGTGGCGCGGTCGTAAAATTTACAGTAATATTTTGCACTTGGGAAATTGAGCAAGCAAATGAACAATCCTGGGCGCGTTCCTACAGCCTAAGCGATTGAAATTAACAGAAAACTCAAGAGCGTTTGGTGGCGTTTTAGGGAACGTGCTCTCGGAGAGTAAAATGCTGAATAATCGTGGGGGGAGGAGCCTCAATTAGGCACGCCTTGTAGACACACCTAAAATCAAATTAATTGGAATTCACATTAAAAGAATGAGATTACCGGCTGTCTTAAATCATTCAGTAGAAAGTAATTTTGAGGGCTCGCGCGCTCTAATCTGGAAGGAAACCGTGTTTCCTGAATTACATTAACCGGATAATCATCTATTGACATTAAATCGGTGTGATGTCATAGATGAATTTTGAGGTTTCCATTTTTTGCTTTTCTATTACTTCCCCTATTTGTATGAGGATGGTGATGGAATTGATGGGTCCATAGGGCCTCTGTTGTATCCACTCCTCTCCCTTTCTGGAAGGCACAGTTCTATCAGATTTCAGGGGTTGATTTTTTTGTCACCATTTCATTTTTTACTGCTTGTAAATGGTATGGCGTTTTTAGTATTGGTTTTTCACACATGCATTGCTAATATTGAGAAATATGACAGATTTGTATATGTTTGTCTTGTATCAGGCAAACTTGTCAGATTCACTTATTCTAAGACTATTCGTTTCGTTGGGGTTTTCTACATAGGTGATCATTTGAAAGTCAGTTTTATTTCTTCTTTTCCACTCTGTCTGCATTTTATAGAACTCAATTTTGATGTTTTTATAGTATGTATCTCTGGATAGTTTCTTTGTGTGGTTACAAAATAAATGTTACCTTTCAAAGCCTACTAGTTATCAACAGTTTGACACTTCAGATAAAATGTAGCAAACTTAATTCCTTTCAGATAGCCAGATAGAATGTAGCAAACTTAATTCCTTTTAGGTTGTTTTGTGATACACTTGTCTTAGATATTACCTCTACATAACTGAGAGGCATAGTTGACAATGTTGTAGACTTTGTTTTCAACCATCAAACATAATTATGAAAAGTCAAGAGCAGGCAAACGGTCTACATTGAGCCTTTTCATTTCTTTTCGAGAATAAAGAAAGTTTCCTTCTGTTATCCTTCTGTCTGAAGAACTTCCTTTATCCACTTTTAAGAGCAGATCAGTGCTGGGTCATTTTATCAGTCTCAAGTCCCCAGCCAGTCTGCATTTTTCCCCCCTCCACCTTTCAAATCTTCTTTCTGTTGCTTTATTAATTCTGTCTTAGGTTTTTTCTTCTAACTAGTAGGAGGAATTAGGATGAAATGTGGATAAAAAAAAAAATCCATTTTGTCTGGTACCGGAAGTTCTTCACTGCCCTTGATGACCTGGCACATTTATACGGCTCAGTTATTTATTCAAGGAATTAGTGCCAAACTTGAAGTAACAGAACAATTGTCTTCTGTGACTACTTAGTGTGGAATTGCAGGCAAGATATATTCAAAGTTTTGAAAACAAACTGAAGTGGGTTCTGCTTACATATGTTACAGTGAATGATGGTAACACATACCCCTGGAGAAAGAATTCTATTGTTCTCTTTAGTAAGCTTACAAAAACTGTAGTTGGCTGCTGTTATTTTTATTATTCTATTTTGAATTTCATCAGAAAAATTCAGGGGACACTTATTTTCTGTAGAGAGCTACCTGAAATTATCAACTTTATCTTTTGGACTGAAAAATCTAACATGTTATCTAGTCTTTATTCTTTCTAGTTTGTTGAATACTTACCCTAGAGTGTCGCCTTATCTTCTCAGAATGAAACGTTCAGGTAAATTAGGACTGAGACACTTACAAGGACAAATGGTTGGAACTTGACTGTTCTTTCTAAATGGATTATATGGATTATTTGGTCTTGCTTGCTAATAAATGTGTTTTAAAATCTTAGTCTCAGCCCTCCCTGGTGGCACAGGTATTAAAGCGCAGCTCTATGAAGTTATCTGCAGCCACTGAAGCAAGAGTTCGATGCCTGGTCAGGGAGCTGACCCACATGGCACAGCAGACCTGTCTCCTGGCTGCTCCCCTCAGCAATGTATTTCAGTCAACTGCCTGTTCTGCTCCCCACTCTGTCTGTGGTGAATCCTCTCACCCCTACCCCCCGCACCTCGTCTGTACCCCAATTCTTGTATGCATAAATGAATAAATCTTTTAAAATAATCAATAAATATCAAAAATAAAGTATAATGAAATAAAAGAGGGTCAACAGTGTGTCTTAAACTAAAAATCATGACCAACCAAATCCTGTGTAACTGAGGTAAAACCAAAAAATACACAGCTAGAAAGAGTAGTTCTAGTCACACTCCTAAATGGAAAGCATGATAATCTTCAAATGGTGGGATTAGGAAACTGAACTATTTTACCTCTTGTTTAATTAAGGATTAATATGCTTTAATACATCATATCATGTTGCCCCCACCCCCAACATGAGAACTAGAGCCTTGAGGATAACACACTGACCTGTGAGGTCTCCTTTCCACCCCAGCCCCTGCCTACTCCCCCACCCCTGGTAGCCACTATCCATCACTTCTGTGCTCATATTTTTCCCATCTTTCCTTTTGATGTAGTACTTACGTTTGCATTGTCTTTAACTTACCAAAAGTTATTGTTGTGAGCAAGATATCCCTATTGCTGTATTTGGGTTCTTGCCAGGCTTCTCCTAGGGACATGCTGTGGAGATGGTGCTTGCACAACAGGCACTGTTCTGTGCATGTGCAGCGCACTCTCACATGCCTGAGAGGAACTGCCAGGTCACGGTGTGGAACTGCACATTTATAGGTACTCAGGGCTGCACTACTCTGGTATCTTCACCTGACATGATTGCTGACTTATTCCCTACTACATTAAGTTCTACGCTTCAGAGCCCTCCCTGGTTGTGTAGGTCAAAGTGCAGCACCTCGAAGCTGGCTGCAGCCACTTCAGCTGGAGTTCCATCCCAGCCAGGAAGCTGACCCACATGGCTCGGCAGACCTCTCCTGTCTCCCCGCTGCTCCCCTCCCCTCAGCAGTGTGTTTCAGTTGATCTACCTGTTCTGCTCCCCACTCTGTCTCTGGTGAATTCTGTCACCCTCCACACCTCTGGGGTGTACCCCAGTTCTGTATGCATCAATTTTTTATAAAAAGAAATTCTGCACTTCAACTTTCAGATCAAGTTTCACTTCCCTCACATAGCTCTTTTATTTAACTTATTCTACTATTATTTCCCAGTTAATGTATAAACTTTCCTACCCTTCACTTTATTGCTTGTATGGTACCTTGCAATTACAGGTCACTGTTACCTATATTTTCATCCTATCCTTGTAATTTAAAAACTTGAAGGATGTGTCTGAGCTCCACCATATTAATAACTACTTCTCAGTCAAAAGTTGGTGAAGATGAGTATAATTATATGTTTATAAAGGAAATTAAAAATGGACGGGCAAGTATAATTACTTAACTGTACATGGTATGAAAGACATGTCCATGTCTCAGGCAGCAGCAAGATTCCCTTATCTTTGCGGAGCATCTAGTTACATCTAAGTTAGTGTGTAGAAAACCTAAGTCAGAAGCCACAGATCATCAGAGGTTGCTGATAAATCACAGCTCTTCCCCTTTAGGGAGCTTATTGACTCAAAGGGACTGTGGGTTGTGTATCTGAAACAGGGGTGGAGAGGTCAAAAGGGCAACAAGCAGGAGGCCTGATGGAAGGATGAACAGTCACTCATCTGCCCAGGCTCTGAGGCCAGAGAGCCACCAAGTAGCCCCAAAGGCCAAAACCAAACCAAAGGACCGAGCCTGGTGAGAGGCCGGTTGCGGTCAGTGGGTCCCACCTGCGCACAGCTGCAACAGGCCTCAGGCTCCGGGATCAACCGCCAGGGAGACAGAGCTCACGCAGCCACGAGTGGCACTTTCTCTCCCGGACAGCGTCAGTGATGGTCGCCAGCGGCATCAGGAGTGCTGGACAGCACTGGCCAGTAGGCATGGTCACTGCTGGTCCCTCAGAGGCGGGTCAGAGACCCCCAGTGTTAACAGCTCCTTGGGACTCCAGGCCCGGGGCCCTGGGTGCCCCTTTCCGGCAATGTCAGAGAGAGGAGGAGGCCCAGGCTCTGAGAGAGTCCTTTGGCTTCTTTCCACCCTTGGAGGGCAACTGCTGGACGCTTCTTTTCTTCTCTTTGGAGTCCAGGAACGGAGTCTGCCATTGTTCTTCCTTCAGAGGCTGGAGCCATCTTTTCTTTAGGTGCTGATGTTGGTGAAGGCTGTCTCCTTGGGGCGCTGGTGTCCTCTTCAGGGCCGGCATTGTCTCCCTTCAGCTCCTCCTGACCCTGGCTTGTCTTCTTTTCCAGGGTGCCCCACTCACAAGTCTAATTGGACTGTTTTCTTTAAGATTCATTTTTATTTATTGATGCATACAAGAGCTGGGATGCAGGCCAGAGGTGGGCTGGCAAGGGGATTCACCAGAGACAGAGTGGGGAGCAGAACAAGTGGATCTACTGAAAAAAACTGCTGACAGGAGCAGCACACCCCTCAGAGACAGGAAATTCCTGGCTGGGGATCAAACTCAAACCACAGTGAACGGTAATTGCTCGATAGTGCTGAGACTTTAACCCCTGTGCCATCAGGGGTTAAATGCCCTTGTGGGCATTCTCAATCCTGTGGCTGGTTGGATCATTTATCAATTGGCCCATAGCATCTGATTGGTCCATTCCACAATCCGGGAAGTGCACTGTTACTTAAAAGGGTTTTGAGGAGCAACTGCCAAAACTGACTTGTGGTAAGAGGCTGAGTCCTGGTAACACACATCTGATTGGACCATTTAGCACCAATCAGCTTGTAGCTTGCACCTGACTGGTCCCTTCCAAGATCAGGATGTGTGCACTATTACATAAAAGGTCTCTGAGGAGTAATTGCCACAACTGACTTGTGGTGGTGTAGAGGGTTGAAAGAATACTGCCCCTGCTGGTCCCACTGAGGCAGCTGGCTTCTGATAACATCTGGTTGTGTTTCTCCTTTTGCTTTGGCTACTAGGAAGTTTGTAGGTGTAGTTCTGACCTATTTGTAAGTAATCCTGATGTGCATTTCTGTGTAATGACTTTATTCTTGGCTTCCTTTACTTTTGTCTTCTAGCCATATTTTAAAAATGCATCTAGATATACAATCTATCTCAAATCTTTTCTGAAACACAGGGACATATAACTGAACAAATAAATACATGAAGACAAGAATGAATATATAGGCCCTCCCTGGTGGCACAGCGGGTTAAAAGTACAGCACTATGAAGCTATCGCAGCCAGCCACTACAGCATGAGTTTATTCCCTGGCCAGGGAGTGACCCACATGGCTCAGCAGACCTCTCCTGACCCACCCACTGTTCTCCTCAGCAGTGTGTTTCAACAGATCTGCCTGTTCTGCTCCCCACACTGTCTCTGATGAATCCTCTCACCCCTCAAGCCTCTGGCCTGTACTCCAGTTCTGTATACATAAATAATAAAAAAAAATACACAAAAATTACAATGACTCAAATAAAAATGCATCATATACTAAATCCTGGCGACCCAAATCCTGTTCACCTGAGGTCCACCTAGGAGGCTACAGAGTTCCCTCCTCAAGGCTTATAAGTTTTAATGCCCTAGAGGGGAAGACTGAGATGAGAGCTGAGTCTGCTTCCTCTGCTCCTTTTCCTCCCTCTGCCCAGACCACTAGGACAGTCTCCCTGTTGTGTCTGGCATTTAAGTTTAACTTTAAAGGATTTCATATTTTAAAAAGTGCCAACTATTATATACACTACATGCTCAAAGCTGATTGTATGTGTTTAGTGTCTTATCCTGCACTGCCTCAGACCCTTCACAGACTCCTCTGTCGAGAGACAAGGTGGGGCATAGACACATCATCAGGTCTCTCGGCTTCCCTGACCGCATCCCCAGATAGGCAGAGCACTGTGTAAGCATGAAAGGGAGATAACTAGCCATCTGCATGGTATCAAGGGAGTCCTAGATGTAGAAAAACTCAGTCCTTCCCACTAGAAAGTAGACATAACTATTGTGACACGCTGCTCACTTGCTGGCCGCTTTTGAAGGGCACCGAGGCAGAAGAGGACAGCTGTCCTTCAGCTCTGTGCGCTTGGATGCTCGCTGTGTGTGCTGCACACGAGGCAGGAGCTGGGCATCTTTGAGCAGCTGCATTTCAGGATCATTCTGACTGCTTGTCCTAACTGACGTTTATGTCCCGTTTATATGGACATAAACATTCCCATTGCCTTGTTTTCTTTTTTCTTTAAAGATTTATTTATTTATGCATACAAGAACTGGAGTGCAGGCCAGAGGTGCAGGGGTAGAGCCATAGTGGGGAGCAGAACAGGTGGGTCTACTGGAATCACGGCTGAGGGGAGCAGCAGGCGAGATAGCAGTCTGCTGTGCCTAGTTGGTCCGCTCCTTGGCTAGGGATTGAACTCAAGCTGGAGTGGCTGCAGGTAGCATCATAGTGCTGTGCTTTAACCCCTGTGCCACCAGGGAGGCTCCCTCCCATTGCCTTATTTTCTGTCTCAGTACTTTGTTCCTAATGGAAACAACAGTCACATGAGTGTGCTTAGTTGTATAAACTTCTTAGCCTGAGTTCCTTAAGGGTCAGGGCTGTGCACTATTTACCTTTGTATCCCAGCACCTAGCATATGCGTGGCAGGCAATGAAAGAACTAGATGGACGCCAGAATACAGAAGGTCAGGTGTTCAGCAGCAGGGTCTGGGGACAGGGGCAGCAGGTGTTACATTCAACTTTGAAAGGGCTAAATGAAGCCCTTGAAGCAGCCCAAGAAGCAGAAGAGATGAAAAAAGAGGATAAAGCATAAAGCATTCAAGCAGAAACATAAAGAGAAGAAACTTGAGACACAGAAAGTGAAAGTTGCCAGGAAAGGACCCTTGGCCACAAGTGCAATGAAGAAATCTGGCAAAAAGTACATTGTTTCTCGAACTTGAGGCAATAGTGATCCTTAATTCCATTCCTGTTTAAACATCCGGATTCCCTGCCATCACATCTGTTGCCACCACTATCTAGAATGAAGCCCTGAAGTCTGTTTATAATTAAATAATATAACACACCCACACAAAGATAGATTAGATGGGTAGCTAAATATGGCCAGCTCTCCCAAGTTCCCTAACTGCGCAGCTACTATATGCTTATTCAGTCAACAAGTCTCTGAGAGCTTTCTGTACACAAGGTATTACGCTGTGCACTGGTCAAACAACTTCTAGGATGTGCTATAACTCAGCAAAGAGGCAAAACTAACATGATTGAGCACAAGTTTAGTGAACAGGGCATGTGAGGGAATATCTGTTTTCCTCTCATAAGGAGTAACCTGAAGAGCCCAAAGCTTTCTTTACCTTTGCTTGGGCTAGGGAAGAAATGGGAGACAGCACCTGATGTACCCCTATACCACACCCAACAGAATATCATCATACAAACCAAGTAGCAAACTTTTTAATTTGAATAGATTACAACAGAATATAATAATTCTTTCAAAGTACAAAAATAATTGTAAATTTTTTTTGTTTGCAAGTAACATTGGCTACAGACTATAAATAGAACATTGATCTATGAATTGCAGACATTACACCATCGTCCTAAGCCTGGGCCTTCCTCTCTACAGTATCATCATGTGCAAGGAAAACATGAAAAACTCTGTAGTCATGAGACCCTGCTAAGACACTCCAGAAGTCACTGTTCTTAATAACAGAATCAAATGGTATCTCTCTTAAACTAAGCTTTGAGCTTTTCTGGCTTAGTTCTATAGGTTCAAAAGTTTTTGAAAATTAGCCAAAAATTCTGGAAATTGTTATTTTTGGAATTACCTGATTGCCCCAGCAATCCGCCCATAGGAAAAATAAGAAGAAATTTTTAAAAATTAAAAAATAGGGAGAAATTAAAAAAAGGGGGAGAAATTAGTAGTATTCAACAAAGGTTCATGTAAAGATAAATCATCATCAATGAGAAAGCTTTTCAAATACAATAAGTCTGAAATAGCAAGTAAGTGGAAGACAAATTTCACCACCAAAGCCATTGTGGAGTTCCGTCTCTGTTTTCCCACTATTATGTTTGCTAACATTTTAAGTGAGGTGACAATCACGAGGAGGAATCTAAAACAGAGCAAGCTCTGCCCAGACCTGGCCCACCTATTACTGTGGATGTTGAGAACCAATTGTTGAAGTAGAAACAACATAATGAGGAAAACAGAAGCTTTGGTCTATGGAGAATGATGTGACTTTGTTTTCTAAGTCAGTTGTGCAGGTGAGCTTGTTTTGTGTTGTGCTCTGAGCTGATTAGCACTAGGACTAAGATAAAAGGCAGGAAGCTGGCCCTGCCTAGGTAGAGCTGAGCGAACCTTTGCAGCCATCCAGAAATCAAGGCTTCTGGCGGGGAGCCTTCTTTCCTTAGCTGCTCTCCATTCTGTACAACTTCCTCACGTAAGGAAGTAGGTGGAACTGCCGAGGCTGTGCTGCCAGGAATTCTGTCCTTAGAGCTTCAAAGAAGGATGATTTTCCTCCAGGTCTCACGCTGGATCGGGGTGACGCTGCTCTTCCTACACCTGTCAATGCTAGGTACCGCCTTGAACTAATGGAAAAGAATTAAATTGTGTAGAAACAGAAGGGATCTGGCACACAAGGGTCTGTTTCCTGAAAAGAGGGTTGTGTCTAGCTCAGCTGTAACTGGATTTCATGTTGGGGTGCGCAGAAATGTGGCACTGGAAGGCCACATTTGGGCTTTCGGTGGCTTCAAGGCTCCACACAACCTTCACCTCCACATCCCTGCATGACGGCCACATGCACGTACATGATACATGCATGACAGGCATACGTGTCACCTCTGCCATCCACTTTCACCATCCACTTTGACAACAGGCACTTACTCAACAAGAGAGAGGAAGAAAAAGCTCATCTGTCTTGTTACCAAAAGTATTATAGAGAAGTGACTACAGCAATTCATAAACTTTGTTTCCTGAATATCTTTAAATGCGTCATACAGGGTTTTTTTTTTTTTTTCATAGTACTCACCTTTTAAAAGCTGCCACACGTTACTCCACTGTAACATGTTATTATCATCAGGAATCAGTTACTGCAAAGAGTAATCCCATAAGCCTATTATCCTTTAATGACTGAACAATTTGATAAAGGATCTTACTGCCCTTCTCAGAATCATAAAGCTATGAGTAATTTCTGCTCTCCCGGGAGTCAGAGATGTAGTGCAAAACTCTTTATGGAGCTCCCCAGTGAACTAGGATAATGTACTGAGACATCTGCCTAACATGACAGAGTGATGGTGACTCTGGAGCATCAAGGCATCTGTTATTGCAGCTGGGAGAAAACGCCTTGGAATGCTAACAGAGCAGAGCAGAGCAGAGCAGAGCAGAGCGATGCTGTTCTCCTTACAGTCAGTGGATGACTCAGTCCTCCGGGCACTTTTGGAAGAAAGGCACCAGACAAGTCCAAAGTCATATTGCTAGTCGGATCACGCAGGGGCCAGGGCACAGACCATGGCACTGAGTTCAGCCAGAAGGCAAGGTCTAGGCAAGCCTTTCACTGACCTCGAGGCTTGAAGAGCAGGGAAGGAAAATGTCAATGTAATAGCGTCCTGCATCTTACATTAACCTGGAGGCAAACGATTTCCAGTGCGACCGCCAAGTGGCGGGTCCTGGTGGCGTTTCCTACGGTCCTGGAGCTACCTTAGACAGGCACTCGGTTTTCTTTGGCCCACTTCTTCATGATCCGGATGATGTACTCTACTTGGGTGTTACCTGTGCTTCTCAGTAAATGGAGGACTTCTCGAAGGGTCTCTCTGAGGAAAATGTTTGAAACAATCGTTTTTCAATAAAGAAGAAAAATGAGCAAGTAAAACACACTTGTAACAACAGCTCACTGCTTTCTAATGAGGCACTTTGAGTAACATACTTTCTATGTACTTGTAAACCAGCTCCTAAATTCCTAGCCTTCTTACTACAGCCACAGCACTATGGAATCTGTGATATCCTTCTCAGCAACCCAAGTTGTCCTTCTTTACTTAGATGGTCTGTATATATGTCATCTTTTTGACCTCCCTAACATGCATGACACATGTATTTCCATGTCTATCTTGCCTCTAGAAAGAGGGCAAATCAAGGAGTTGGGTTCAAATTCTAGATCTACACTAACAAGTCACTGATTTCTCTGAGTCTTAAGAGCCTCCTTTGTTGAAGATCATCATCATCTTAAAATGGGCATCACTGCCGTATTTGTAAAATTTTACAAAAAGCAGAGAATGAATGTGCTCTTCAAGAAAATAATGTATTAAGAAATAATGGATAAAAGGACAGTTAAGGATAAATATTGGACATTTAAATTCTTTGAATGTAATGAAAACTAAAACTCACCCTTTCAGTAATGCATACAAATGCCCTATTCCCCTAGCAGATCGGCAGGGGACTGCCAATGGAATCGCTTTCCTAAGGGTCTCTCACCTTTTCTACATTTTTCCCCACAAGGAACTTCTTTCACCTAATCAAATTCTTTCAAACTTCTAAGACTAGAAGTAGATTCAGGGCAGTAAGCATTTTTTTTCTTTTTCAGGAAACAACTTTTAGTATTTACTTAGATGATAGTTACTCATCCATCAAAAACAAATACTGAAACTTAGAAAACTGAACTTAGTTTTAAATATTTCACTTGATTGTATGCAATCTAATGGCTCAGTATTTTTTGGAATATGAAACTACAAAAAAAAAAAAAAAAAGGAATTATCCTTTAAGGTTAAAATGGAAAGGCACAAGAAAAAGCCAACAGGCAAAGAAGAGACTGAACGACTTTGTAAAGAGGGCCACTCTTTGGCGCCAAATCTGTATCTTGCTCTTGTAGCTGTGAGCTGTAGTATGTCTTAGAGTTGCTAGAATGACCCAATTCTACAAAGTACAAAATTCCTGGAGGAAAAAGGCCAGATAGAACTATACACTCTTAATCTTTGAACTGTCATTCTAAAACATTGTTGTAATTTTTAGTTTGCAGAAGCAGCTGTCATCCCAGGAAACAATGCTGTTCCCCCACAAACCAGCAGACCCGGAGATAGTGTCTCTTGTCACTTACTTGGGTTCTCTCCCCGCTAAGATCATCTGGAAAATGCCCACACAGGCACCCCTCTTGCCTTCCCAGTATTCAGGGTTGGGATCCAGTCTTTCCAGGACATCAAATGCTTTGGCTGAGTAGTAAAACTGGCCCATCTGAGTAAGAGAAAGATTGGGGTGATTGTATGTAATGAAACCAAACATAAAGATGCTATGAAATGGGCTTATAAAACTACCATGTGGGTAATGACAAAATTTTCACTTAGAAAATTAGAAATTTAGGGGCCTCCCTGGTGGCACAGGGGTTAAAGACAGTGCTACCAAGCTATTGCCAGCCCCTGCAGCATGAGTTCAATCCCGTTGGGCCGCCAGGGAGGCTGACATTTAACATTTTGGAAGTGACAAAATGATCGAATGTAGACCCAACTAGCAGCAGTCAGGGTGAGGGCTGGTGCCCAGGGAAAGGCGCACAGTTAGGGGCAGCACCAGGGAGAACTCTGGTGCCGGATGCTGGAGCAGTTCTGCACCTGGCCAGGAGTGTGCTTAGTGGTTACATGAAGCTACACATTGGATAAAGTGGCAGGACCTACACAGTGTAGCAATATCTATTTCCTGGTTTTGATATTGTGATATATTAAAGTTACTAAGCTGGGGAAACTAGGTGAATGGTACATGAACCCTCTGTACTATTTCTGTAATTTCCTGTAAAGCTATATTGTAAAATAAAAATGTTTTAAATTAACCAAGAGTTGTATGCAACAATGTAGATGAAGCTTACAAACATATAAAAGATAAACAAGGAAATTTTTGAGTATTAGTTCCTAAAGATAAGACTCTGAGGGCCTCCCTGATGGCACAAGGGGTTAAGGTGCAGCACTATGAAGCCTTTGGCAGCCACTGCAGCACGAGTTTCCGGGCTGGCCGGGAGCTGACCCACATGGGAAAGCAGACCTCTCCCTTCTTCCCGCTGCTCCCCGCAGCAGTGTGTTTCAGTAGATCTGTCTGTTTTGTTCCACACTGTCTCTGCTGAATCCTCTCTCATACACCCCCACCTGCAGCCTGCACCCCAGCTCTTGTATGCATAAATAAACCTTTTAAAAAAATGTTAATTTACAGAATCAAGCAGGATGGGGCTCTTTCATTCTGCACCATGTTGGTTCCTGTTAGGTACAAAGGTGGGAAGGGAGGAGGGGCCACCACCCCAAGTTTGGTTTGGATGTTGAGAATGTTGATGTCCCCCAGTATTTAAAGGTTTCTAACTATGTAACTGAGGTCTCCAGGGAGAGCAGGACGGGTCTCACAGGCAAGTCCAAATTGACCTGAGAACAAGAAAAGCAACTGGCTGGTGGTTCAGTGTGGGTGGGACCAAGGGCTCTTGACCAGGGGGTTAGGGGGGGTTTGGGGCTTAGGTGGTTTCAGTCAATCCAGGGCAGGGACCCAGAAATAGGGTGGGGCCAAGGCTTCTTATCATTTCCCCCCAGGTAGGGTAAGGAAAGAAGAGGGGGTGAAGGTTAAAAGTTATCAGCAGCAAACAGCAAGAAGGAGTCAGACTCCTCTGGGCAGTTCCTTTTTCCCCTTAATTACTGGGCGGGATCCAGCAAGGGTGGTTTAACTCTTTGCCTACTGAAGGGCACTTGGGCTGCTCTGGGTAGCGGCTGTTACAGTAAAGCTGCTACTGACAGGTGAAAAAGCATTTGTGTGGCTTTAGGCTTTCATGTTTCTAGGATCAATGCCCAGAGGCTCAATTGTGGGGTCAAGTAGCAAATGTGCATTTTGTATTTTAAAGACACTATTCCATGGGCTATCATTTTTATCCCTTTATAACTGTCTGCCTAACTGTATTGTTATAGTTAAAGTGAATTTCTTCTAAACAGTAGCTATCTTTATCTTTGAGTAGGGCTCCCCCCCCTTCTTTATTGAGGTAACCTTGGTTTACAGCACTGTGAGCCGGAGGGGTCTAGGTTCACACCTCCTCCTTGTGTGTCACCACAGCACCCCACCATCAAAGCACCCACAGTCTCAGCCCTGGGCTACTGGGCCCTCCCCCTTCATTCCCACCCACCTCCTCCTCCAAATATCTGTCCTTGAATTAGGTTATTTAGACTGTAAGGACTGAATCTGGCCATTTTTGCTCTTTGTCCTGTTTTTCCTGGACAAGGACATCTCATACATATCTCTGGAGTCTGTAGCTGAAGAAAGACGCACAGTGTGGGCACAAGAAAGCCGGACTTGACCTCTCTGTCTTCACTGTACCCGTCTTTCTCCTGGCTCCTGTGCTGTAATAAATCTCAGTCACGAGAATACACTGAGTTGTACTGAGTGTATATTCTAAAAGTAACTGTACACTGAGTCTGCTGGTGAATCACTGAACTAGTGGGTGTTTGTGGGACACACAGGCGCTAGGTAATACCAAATTGTTCTTGAAAGTTGTTATCCTCCTTTGATCTTAACTCCATCCTCCTCTCCTTTCTCCTAGGGCTTTAGTCCATCAAAACTGCTCCTAGTCTCTTGAATCTTTAATCTCCCTATCAGTGATTCCTAGTCTTCTGTCTAAAGAATATTAAAAAAAAAAAAAAAGATGTATTTATTTATGCATACAGAACTGGGGTACAGGCCAGAGGTACAGGGTCCGTGAGACGGTTAACCAGAGGCAGAGTGAACAGGCAGATCAACGAAGTACACTGCTGAGGGGAGCAGTGGGCGGACCAAGAGAGGTCTGCTGCACCATGTGGGTCACCCCAACCCTCTCCCCACCCACCGGCCGGGGATTGAACTCATGGTGAAGCTGCTGCAGTGAGCCACTAGGGAGGGCCCAGAATATTCTTTTTGTAAACAAAGATTTTACTTTTTCTTTTGCATAAATGAACTGGGTTGTAGACTAGATGTATGGGGGGTGAGAGGACTCACCAGGGACAGCGTGGGGAGCAGAACAGGGATTCACTGAAACACACTGCTGACAGGCGACACAGGAGAGGTCTGCTGTGTCGTGTGGGTCAGCTCCCTGGCTGGGGATCGAACTCGTGCTGCAGTGGCTGCTGTGCAGTGGCTGCCAACAGCCTCACAGTGCTGAGACTTAACCCCAGGGAGGCCCTCAATTGCTGGCTTAATGTTTTCTTTTCCTCAGCATCCCCAACTCATTTCACATCATTCCATCCACCAATTCATACTAAACATTTTCAAGTTTCCTATATTTTAAAATATTTTCCATTGGTGGTGATTCACTTTATATCTATACTGAATCAATTTGTAATGAGCTATTACTGACTAGTTAACAGGAGACTCTCTTTAACTGAAAATTTTCTATCTTTTGGACATGAAATATTTTCTAAAAAATACGAGTTTCTGGGATTTGAACCTAATTCTGAAAAAAAACTTTTAATTTGGGCCCTCCCTGGTGGCGCAGCGGGTTAAAGCACAGCACTGAGAAGCTGAAGCCACTTCTGCATGAGTTCGATCCCTGCCTGCCCCGGAGGTGACCACACGGCGCGGCAGACCTCTCCCGACCCGCCCACTGCTCCCCTCAGCAGTGTACTTCGTCGATCTGCCTGTTCTGCTCCCCACTCTGTCTCTGGTGAATCCTCTCACCGCCCCTGCACCTCTGGCCTGTACCCCAGTTCTGTATGAATAAATAAATAAATCTTTAAAAAAAAAGCAACAACTTTTAATTTATAGGATTGGGCTCTAAACTCCTCCTAACTCCCTGTCTTTGCAATTCTATCCCCTACTCACCGACAGCCCTTTGCTAAATCTGACTGCTTTTTATTTTCTTTTTCCTAGATCTTTCATCTTTTCTTATGCCATTTTTTAATATTTCCAAGGTTTGGTTTGCAGCCTCTAAGCTTCTCAATTTTCTTTCTTTCCCAGGGTAATCTCATATTTTACAGTTCTTCGATTACAGTTGAAATGTTGACGATTTCTCAAAATCTGTCTTTAGATGTCGGAAAACATCTTTCTTAAGCTTCAGAACCAAAATTCTGCTGCCAGATGAGTATGTCTATCTGGATGGTACTTAAAGAAAAGTCACACAGCTTTTAGAGGACCTAGATTAGTGCCTCTCTAAATTATTATTTCATCTGCATCTAAAACCTGAAATCCTGTGATGTCTGCATTTACTCTTTAAGTGCCATCTGGATTGCATGTCAGTCCTGTCACCAGCAGACCTGTGAAGCAGCGTGTGGCCCCTCGGCCTCCTGGGGCCCCACTCAGGCTCACCTTGTAGCAGTCGTTGGCAATGAGCTGCAGGAGGCTGAAGGACTCACCAGAGGTCTCCATCTTGAGATAAAGTTCCCAGGCCAGTCTTGGCTTCTTATTCATGATATCTGTTTAAAAAGTATGCTTTTTAAATATATAAGAAATGCATTGCTTATGCCGTCACTGAGGTGAGAAAATGTACTCCTGGCCCACATCACGTCTCAATTTAAAATAAAGCAAAGCATGCTGGTCACGCTAAAAAGGAAGGAAGCAAGAGAAACACTCTGCATCTTGTGATTCGATGGGTTTGGTTCTATGTTCTAAATACAAAAAGTCGTGGTGAACTGCCGCCTTACAGGGTGCCTGCACTGGCAGCTTTGCAGGGATTGGGGGGCTCCCCATCAGAACTCTACCACATTTATTTAAGTTAGGATTTACACTATTCTGGTACTTTATTCATTTTTAAAGATTTATTTGTTTATGCATACAGAACTGAGGTACAGGCCAGAGGCTCAGGGGCCGTGAGAGTATTCACCAGAGACAGAGTGGGGAGCAGAACAGGCAAGTCAAGGAAGTACTCTGCTGAGGGAAGCAGCCGGCGAGACAGGGGTTTGCTGTGTCATGTGGGTCCCCTTCCCTGGCCAGGGATCAAACTTGGTTGAACTGGCTGCCACTGGCTTCGGCTAGCTACATAGTGCTGTGCTTTAACTCACTGCACCACCAGAGTGGGCCCATTCTGGCTCTTTAGATTGGGTGGGTTTCCAGTCATTTCTACTTTGCTGCTGTCTTCTATTATTGATTTCAATCCTACTCATACAACTGTAGCCTGATTTAGATATGTGATACTAAAATTTTCCTTTGACTTCAAAAATTCAATGAACTTTAAATTCGTGAGAAAAAAGGAGCAAGAAAAGAGTGAAGAGAAAGATAGACAAGGTACTTCCAGGTGGCACAAGGGGTTAAAGTGTGGCACTATGGAGATGTGGTAGCCACTGCAGCATGAGTTTGACCCCTAGCCAGGGAGGTGACCCCCATGGCCTGGAAAACCT